TAGATGGATTAAAATTAGGTGGAAAGCATTTAGAAGCAGCATATAAAGCTGGAGTACTTACAGCTGTCACTGCACCCCTTTCTTCTAAAAGCGCGATTACAGGGGTTTCTATGGCATTTAAAACTGGTGCTCGTTCTAGTAAGTTTTTTCATTGATACCCTTTTGAAAATTTATATTATTTAATAACAGCAGGAATTAAGAAAATATATTTTATTTTATCAAGTTTTTGATAATGAATCAATTATTGGCGAAAATGTTGCATTGCATGCTCAAGTAGGCACTCCATACAAAGATGGTAATATATAATCATATAGTCATATTGAATTCATTTTATTTTTTTATTTTAAAGCTTTATTTTATTTTCAATTAAAGACCGTATACCAACAGTTTCGGGTCAGATTTCTCTGATCAGAAGAACATTAATAAAAAATCTTGAGCAACAAAATATTATTGGCCGCGTTGCACGCGGTGATATTCCTTTAATAGTATATGTTGATAGTAAAGATGAAATTGCATCTTTAATTAAATTGAAAATTCAAATTAAAAATTATGGAGGAAATTTAAAGCTTGTAATTTCAGGTGGGGCTGAAGCACACATGCTTGCGATCGAATTGGCTAAGAATGAAATTCCCGTAATACTTAACCCATCAAGACCTACTCCAAGGTTATGGACAGCTCAAAATGTACTAATGGGAGCTCCTATTACTAATAAGACTGGGATAGATATACTTTATGCAAATAATGTTAAGATAGGAATAGGTGTGGATTTATTTTCGTTAGGATTTAAATCGTTTTTATTAGGATTTGGCACGGAAAGAAATTTAATTTGGGATGCTGGTTGGGTATCACGAAATTCGAAAGGACTAATTTCACAAAAAGATGCTATTGGATTTATTACATGGAGCCTTGAAGAAATTCTTGATTTAAATATAAGAAATGGGCTGATTAAAGGTAATATTGCACATTTTGTGGCATATAATGGAAATCCTTTTGATATTAGTACGAAAGTAAAGATTGTTGCTGGTGGTGGTAGAAGTGATATTCTTATTGATCCTGAACAAGACTAAGAATTTAAATCGGTATATATTATAAAATATTACTACAATTATCAAATTACTGTGGGTAGTTTTAAGTATGCAAGAATTGAATCCAATAATGTCTTCGTATTCATCACATCACATGATTAAACACTCGGCCTGCGTTATGGTTAGTGTTAAGGCTATGTGATAGAATAGTTTAGGCCAGTGTAAATTTTTTAGTTGAAATTTATTGTGCAGATGCTGCACAATTTATAGACTTTTTCTGTGCAGCAAATAACTTAAAGAAATTATTTGCAACTGTGCGCATATTTACAAATTTTCAATTTTTTCTGTGAGGCAAAATTTTGTTTCTGTGTGTTGCGCACAGTTATAGATGGTGGTGAATTAATTTTCAAGTTTTTTAATTTCAACAATAAATTCAACAGTAATTTCAACATTATTAATATTTTTATAAATTTAATATAAAACAACTTTTGTATTTGATTTAGTTTGGCTTTAATTAATTTTTGATTAATTATATCTAATCTACATTATGTAATATAAAACTCCTCTTTTATTCTAAAACTGCACCCTAGCCCTAAAAATTCTTTGAATGGGGAATTGCACCACTGGTGAATAAATTCTATTAAGAAACTAATTTCACAAATTTCAACATTAAATAATTTTAAAAAATTTCATTTAAAGGGTAATTTCACCCATCTACACACAGTCCACTCATTGATTTAGGCCGATTTGTTAGTGCAAACAAACAACGACGTTATTACATGATTTCACGTGGTGTGATGATCGCTGGATTTATTATTCTTTAAGTGTTCCTGTCTATGTAAAGAGATTGAAATTTTACAACCCTCAGGCAAACTTTTTTTTTTTTTTTTACGTGTGTGAATCATAAGTCAGTGAAAATGGAAATAGCTCAAAATCGGCGCTGGTTATTAACAAATGAGAAATTATCGTTATATGATATACCCTATAAAAAAGGCTATCTGTATTTGTCGGTATTCAAAAAAATTTGGAATGGGGCTATTTGTTTTAAAACTGTACGAAACTGTATATTTTTATATAAATACAAGTGAAAATAGGGCGCCACTGGCACCCCTGTGGGTGTTCTCAAGCGCCTAAACCAATTGATCGGAAATAAAATTTTAAATAGTCGGGGGCCAAAAAAATTGATCAAGTGAGTTGCCGCTTCACTGACCAAAACTGCTAATTAATAGTATAGAAAATGAGGTTGTTCAAGCACTTTGCTTTACGTCATGGATCTTTAAAGAAATTAAAATCGGCAAAAATTTTTGCGTTTTTATATTCGAAACACTTATCGTTAATAAAAATTCCAGGAAATTCAAAAAGCAAAACTTGTTATTTCCTAACTTTTACGTCAAAAAATAATTATATTTATTTGTTTTAAAAATTTTTAATGTTCAAATGCCTCATTATTTTAGGCGTTGGTTTTGTTCGAATTAAAGGAGAAACATCATACGAATATTCGTAAGTCTGTAAAAGGAAAATTTTGGATACTTTGAGTTGCCGAAGTTACATTTGTTTGTTGAGGCGTTGCCAAAGAAGGAGTTACATTTGCTTGTTGGATAGTTACCTTT